TGTCTGAAATTCCTGCTGAAAGAGAGGTGCTCCTTCCCTCATCCAATTTCATGAGCTTCGACGGGCGAGTAATAGATTCTGAAGAATCACGAACCATGTTTGTTTTCTCTACTCCCAACGGCATGTTTGAATATGTATTAGTTCTCTTAGCCCAATTTAAATCGTCAAGAACTTTAGAAGATTTATCACCTTTACTCAATAACTGAGAATTAGCTGATGAACTGGAGGGGCCAGGCTGCTTAAATGAATGGAGTTATATACTTTATTTTAAAAATAGAAGTTGTAGCCAGCTCAAAATAAGTGAAGAGAAAATAAGCTTATACTTCTACACGTTATCTGCTCCATAGCATCTTAAATTCAAAGCATAGCCAATAACTTACATTTTCATGTAAGGTAAATAATGTGAAAACATTACAAAATGTCAATGATGCTTCAATAGCAGGTGCTTTGGTGATTTTCTTCTTTGTAAACCACCTTTTTTTCTTTTGATAAACAAAGAATTTATTAAAAAAGAAACAAGAGATACAAATGCAAGAGGATAAGAAATCCTCAAAACCAAAAACAAGCAAGAAAGGTAAAAAAAAACTACAAACATGAACGAACCACCTATTTATAACCATAAAATATAAAAGGAGTACTGAACATGGACTCTTTCAGATTTTTCACTTTTAAATTTGAAATCATTCCACTTGCAACTTTGGAGGGATATCCTCAAAGGTTAAAGTGTTTGGTTTGACTAGTAGTACTTAAACAAAGATCATTGTTTTCCAGTTAACTTGGGTGAGAGAATTCAGGGTCAAAAAACAAGAGTTGATCAAACTCAGGTAGGATCGACTATGAACAGACTAACTTATTCAAACTCGTAATTTTACACACAGACTAGCATGTTTGATTTTGCTGCAGAAATATCTCCCAAATTGGCCAAAGATAAACTTCTGTTTTATTGAGGTTCATCCCATCCCCTTTTTGGTTCAGCGTTTTATTGAGAGATGTGCAGAGGGAATAGAAAGCTTTGCTTGGTTGATGTGTACTCCAATTGTCTAGTTTTTGTTATGCTCTAATATCTCTTGCTACGGACATCCACTTTCTTCCTCTAATACAAATTGCTACGTCAAAATAACAAGCAATAACAAAGTGCACAGAGCAGAAAAGATCTTAACCAAGCATGGCATATTCTAATCTTAACTTTTAAAGCATAGATTTTAAAAATATCCATATCTTTGCAACATAAAAAGGACTAAAAAAAAAAGCAAAATTTTGCACCTGAAAGCTGGCATCTGGGCGGACCATTTGAATATTATGTCCTACAGTTGAGTTTCCAACATGTACAGAATGCTGTAGCAAAGAGGCATGCATTTGCTGGTTCAGAGCAGTTGAAGTTGCTGGTTGAATTGGAGGCCTAACAGACAAACTGCCCAAACCCGGAGGACGCACAGAAGGAAGCATTAAACTAGACTGCCCTGACAATGTTCCCGGAATTACAAGGTTGCTTGGATGTTGTTGAAGGGGAATTCGAGGCTGCACTGTAAGCTTTGGATGTCCAGTTAATTGATTAGGAACCAAAGGATTATGAGGTATTGTGCTGATTTTGCCTTCTTGAGCATAAGGTGTCAAACCAGACTGCAACTTGTTCTGCCCATGAGGAGGAAGGCCGGACACAGTTTGAATCAATGATGGCTGACCCAGCTGGCCTTCACTCATTAAAGACTGTGAGGCTTGATCTGAAACCATCCTAAGGTTTGGCATTTGTAACTGCAAAAATTATTATAAAAAAGAAAATTGGAACATCTAGTAGGAATAAGCTTAAGGACCATAAAGATCTCAGTAGTGTGATATAAATTTAATGTTAATTTGATATTACATAAACCTTAAAAGATCATTATTTGCAGTTATTCGTTGTTACTTCAGGTGATATTATATTAGTCATTTAGTCTTAAGTGGTATTTTATTAATTTTATAATTAGGTATTTTCAAGCATGTCAGAAATGGACGTTTGGTGCATGTTAACTTGTTTCAGTCATTAGGACTTTATTTATTAATAACGGTTAGTTAGTCAACTTTGACCTCAAGTTTTGGACTACTTGTTCCCCAAATTTTGACTTGTCCTGTATACAGCTGTCCACGAAATCATTTGCAAATAATTCCTAATTCCTAGTATCCAATTGCTTAAGAAAATATTTACAGACTTATTGATCTTCACAGGCAGTATTAGAAACATGAAATAAAAAATATTAGCTGACATTTGCTTCTAGCTGTCCCATAACACACTAAAATGGCATTTGGTACATGGAAAGTTGGAAAGTTTTTACTTTCTCGAAAATCTAACATCGGGAATGTTAGTTTTCACATTTAATTTGTTATTTAAAAAATAATATTCCTAAGAAACACTGTTTCCCAAGAATTTTTTTGCATAGGATTCCTATGAAAATATTCTCATGGAGGAGGCGAGAAACTAACTTTCCTATGGTAAAATTAAATTTTTAATGCGGTAAAATTGTCATGTTACCTTTATTTGCTTATTTAATGTAGTAAAAATCATTGATTCCCAAGTAACACTTATAAATATTCTCAAAAACACTTATGAACAACCAAACATATATTCATCATTCCTATAAATCATGATTCCTAGGTTTTATAATTCCCGTGAATCATGATTCCCAAACAGAAAAAATTTGTCATGTACCAAACACTCCCTAACTGTAATCTGCAAATTCACAGGTTCAGTTCACAGCCAAGGAAGTTGGAATTTCTAGCACCCTAAATTAAATCTTAAGTCCTGGATGACAGATTTGGCATAAAATATATAAGGAATGAACATCAAGCAAAAAGGTAGTAAAACAAACCACTTGAGAAGTCACCATTCCTAGCATTATCTGAGCCTGCATATACAGCAAATTTTGAACATGATGATCAAAAAGTTATCCAAATCATTGATTTTTCTCAAAATATAGATTAGGAGGAGAGAAGCACAAAATCCCCAAATGTTATATTTTTTTAGAGTTACAAATATGGTTCATTATAAAGAACACACCAATAAAATTGTAACTTTGAAGGAAAGAGTTATCAGCTATGCTTTGATTGTCATAACGAAGACAGAGTAGCACACCAAATTGAAAGATTCTAAATTACAGCTCACACAACAAATATTGACATATTTTTTTTAGGCGATAAATTTTATGGAAAGAAAATCACAAGAATCAAGGATAAGAATTAAGGAATACTCATAAAGAAAATAGAAAGCACAAAGAAAAAGAAAAATTGCAATTAGGCCATTAAAAAAACCTTCCTTCTGCATTTAAGACAAACTGTAAACAAAACACCAACCCATGTCCCATAAAAAAGCTGTGTTGGCAGAGCATCTTTAGCAAAAAAGTCTTGTAATACTTTCTGATAGAACACCAACAAATCATACTCATAATACAGCAATACACCTGCTGTCCCAGAGACAAAAGCCTCTTACAGAGAGTATTCTCTATTCACAAACTGCAAATAACACACTTGCCTAGTTAAACACCCTACTAATAGATAAATCCTAATATGAAACTGCTATCAGCTATTTTCTATAAATAACTGTCATCATGTAGTCTCCAGTACAGAACAAATGCAAAACTACTAATACAAGTTATAGTTGTAGTTTTGCTGATAGCTGGGGTTTCCTTTCTGGATCTTACTAACCCACTTGAATCTCAGCTCCCATCATTACCACCTGCTAAAAAATAAAGCTTGTCCCCAAGGCTGAAAGTAGGAAAGAGCTTCTAATTCTTTTCATTCACTGCAATAGCAATCACTTCCTCTTCATTTAGGGCTCTATTATCTCCCACAAGCATCAATCTTAACTGTTTCACCTTGCATTGGTATAAAGGATGGAATTTCTCTCTACACCAAAAACATAAAACATTGGTTTTTCTCTCCATAAGTTCCTGATAAGTTAAATGTCACACCCCCCACCCCCCTCTTCGTTCTTCATCCCAATTGATATCAAACAGGAGATGAAGTCTCTATTTTGAGAAAAAACCTGCAGACACTAAACCAGAATTCATGTTATTTCTCCCATTCCAACTGCTATTCAGCTTGGCTGCAGCAGTTACAGAAATATGCTCCCAACTTTGCATCCCTGCTCCAAACTCCAAAGGTTGTGCAATTGCCAATTCTAAGACTTCCAAGTGTAACTGCCAATCTCATGATGAATTTCAGCCATCTGTTCTAATATCTCTAGCTAGATAGGAAAAGAAAGAGTCATTTGCCTCCCTACCATCTGACCACAGCCATGCCCTGAATTTCAGTTCTATCAAGCAGAAAGGACTCTTACAAAATCACATGAATGACATATAAGACAGGAAAAAAAAAAAAAGACTCAGCTCATCCATATTTAAATTGAAAATATGAGAAAAGGTCATCCAACAATTTATTTTACTTTTGAACTAGCAGTCATATCTGTCAGATATAAACTGTTCGCCAATCTCCACTACTCAACTCAACTATCTTAATTCTTATCAATCTTATCTCATTTGTTTATTTCCAACGTAGCCGCACTTGATGATATCGATGCATTGTCTTCTACACAATTTAATAGCTACCATAATGGGCATCTATATCATACAAGCATATGCATAGAAACTAGAAAGAGACAAGTTTGTCAACAAAGAATGTCGTTCTTAAATAAATCCACAAAGAAATTGATACAGGAGAAAAGTACACACCTGAAAAAGAGCCTTGGGCAACTGTGGCCTTGAAAGCAACAGCTGGCGAGCCAGTTCCTTGTTTTGTGTAGCCATTCCCTGCCAACATAACAAGAATGAATAAGTCAAGAAAAGTGAAGGTTGTCTACGAAGGTGAATTTAACCTTACCAAATAGTTACCTTGAGCTCAGATATAATCTCAGTCAACTGACTCCTGGACATTTTGGCCAGATGCAGAGTTAAAGGATCATGTGCCAATGCTGACTGATTCTGCAAACTATTTTGATTTGACTGGATGCCAAACTGAGCACCACCTAGAGCTGCTGTCATGACAGTTGCAGCTGTTATGGCAATATGAAGACCAATAGGCTGATGCTGAACTGCTTCCCCATGGACAGCTGGGCCACCAACTTGTTTCTGAGGGTCTTTAATACATAAAATGAGAAAATGAAAAATACAGAAAGAAAAAGACAATGCAGTGATTATATGTGAGATAATTTATCACAACATATAAGAATAGCAAGAGTATAAAGAACCAACCAACATTTGTTGTCATTCCAGGCCCACCACGACCCTGTGCCAAAAAAGAAAAAGAATCAATTTAATCTGAAATTAAACTGACATTTAGCACATGATTCCTCTATTTTGACCTCCACAGCCACAAAGAAATTGGGGAAAAAACAAGAAAAAAAATCTTTACATTGTCCTAAATGCCTTTGACATCTTTGAAACTAATGATGATCTTTAGTGTATTCATGTTACTTTAGTGTCAAAATGCTTAAGACCTTTGAGCGAATGTGGGTTACTTACTTTATTTGGTCAAAAATGTTATTATCAACAAGTAAAAGATATTGATCATTGTGAGATCAATAAAATATTTAATTAATAATTATTTCCCTTTGGTTTCACATTGATAAAAAATTGTGGTTTGAAAAATGAAATATAATTATAAAAAGTAAATATAACTGAGAGGCTACATATGTCCAATTATTCATGACTTTCAGGGTGCATGCCAGTATGACGGGTTTGGAGTTGAGCTTCCTTTCAGGCAATTTACTGCACTTCCTTTAAAGTAAACATAGCAGAGAGATCTGGGAGAATAACTTGTCACTAATCCAAAAAGTTTTGACAATATACCTGTTCTCTATTTCTATCAGTCCCTTTATCATTTTCGGCAAAATCAACACGTAATTGCCGCCCATTAATTTCATAACCCTGAAGATTTCGCCGAGCACTTAAAGCTGTCTCTTCATCCTTATACTCACAGAATCCATAACCTTTTGGCTTCCCAGTTTCTCTGTCAATAACTAATCTGCAGATAAAAGATGGGAATCCTTCAACCAAATAAGCCATTGATCAAGCGGCAAAAAGGAATTCTAAGAAACTACAGAAAAAATCTCATTATGAAACTTATCCCTTAGGACAGGCTTGGAAAGCCACTTCAAGTTATAGCCATAAAAGTCCTATTTGATAAACTTTTTTTATAAGCATTTATAACTTATAAGAGAAGAAAATAAGAAGATAAAATGAATTAAGCTTCCCCCATAAGCTAAAACCAACTTTTGCACTTTATTTTGACTGCCCTCTTATTTAACTTTTCCAAAAGTTAAAGTGTATAACTTGATTTTGGCCCTATTTGGACAAACTACTCCATAAGCACAATAAATATTTGTATAGAAATTTATCCAAAAAGTGTCTTTAGCTTATTGGAGAAGTTTAAATCATTCTACCTTCTTATTTTCTTCTCCCAGATATATTCGCCAAGAAGTTTATCCAAACAGAACCTAGTCTAAAACTAATCCTCTAATGGCAGAGTTTAAAACACGCATTGTTTTAACACGAGCTTAAGTTTTTTCCAAGTTACCTGAATGAGACTACAGGACCAACCTCCTGGCAGATTTCGACAAGCTGTTCTTCTGTGGCATCATACGGTATATTCCCAACTACAACAGAATCACAACAATTGTCATAACCTAACAACCAACGGGCATTAATTTCGCAAATTCCAATCTAATTGAAATCGAAAACATCCAAGGTTGCGATAATCATGGAGCCACGAAGATGGAGAATTAAAAAATAAATAAAATACAGAAATTAAATATTTTATTTCGATTTCCCATTTACTGAACACCGAAACACTGAATAAAGGGGCATACCGAAAACGCAGCGATGCTGGGACTGGGAGGTGGCCATGAAATCAACAGCAGAAGAAGAAGGTGAAGCGCTGCTCCATCTTCTTCCTCCTCAGTACCATTATTTGTTCAGCGAGAACGAACGAAAGAAAGAAACTTGGCGTTTCGATTCGATCTTCTTCTCCAGCAACCACACTGTTGTGTTGTGCTAACAAAAGGGTTTTTATTTTTGTTTTATAAACATAAGTACTACTATAATGTTTCTGACACCCATATATTTATATCACTAATATTCGCACTCATCTCAAATAATAAAAAAATAATAATAATAAATATAACAAAGTCAAATAATGGACTTTGGTAATTTTGTACGTTAAATTACGATAATAAATTGATGGTGAAAATAGCAGTTTTTGATACAGTGTGAAATAGTAACAATTTAAATACATTACTCTTATTCTACTTTGGGTAAAACAAATTATGGCCAATTTGACTTCAGAGGCTGGTCGTTGCCTGATTATCAGAAAGATTTAGGTGAAGCATTAAATTGGTTTCATTTTATTTTTCATTTTATAATTTAATTTATATTTTGTTTAATTTTTTAGTTTAATAAAAAATATATTTTTTCTTATCGAATCGGTTTATGTACGACCATTGTCCGTATTTGATTCCATAATTTTTCTTAAATTATAATTCTTTAATTTAGTAATTAATATTAAAATACAAAAAAAAAAAAAACCAATACTATGTTATAAATATTTTTATTGTATGTTATAAATATTTTTCAATTCAATCATGCTTGTTAATAAGGAAATATAATAATTTTGTCATCTAATGAAAAGAGATCTACTTATTTTAAAATTAAATTTGTTTAAATTTATTTTATTCAATAAATTATGTTTTACATCAAATTTTAATTTAATGAATAAATTATGTAAAAAACAAACTTTATATGAGGATGAAAAAAAATAGTATACTAATCTTAAAATATTTTAAAAATTTAATGAATATTCTAATATTAATGGCCTTCATTTGTTTTTATCATTAAAGATGAGAAATAATCTCTCAAATTTTGTAATGTGTATGGGATAATATTAATGATCATACACCCACCTTGTAGATCATTTATATAAGTTACGGGTTTAATTAATGCATCAACTAAATAACTAAATATTTATATTTATTTATTGTCAACTCTTAGTCAAACATTTACTAGATTGATTGTTCAACCAATCAAGCTAAGAACACGTTTTATTGCCAAAATAAGAAAAATCGTGTTGATAATGCTGATGAATGTTAGTAATGGATATTATATATGACTATTATAATTAAATATTCAACATCTTGTAAAACGTGCATTTAAAATTGACTATAATGTCATTACTCACGGATAAAAAATTTATAATTTATGTTGTAAAAAAAGATTTTGATTGGGTAAAAAAAACTTATAATTTTATGTTTAGAATCTATTTAGATACAATTAGAAGTATTATTGAGATTTTTTTATTAAAAAATATTCTTTATTTTGAATAAAAAAAATTCTCAACAATACTTTAATACTTATATCTATACATGATATTAAGGACATATAATCTGATTTTAAGTTGTTCTTATTAACATCATATTAATAAGATATTACAAGTCTATTCATTTGCAAATTATATATTTGATTGACAACATAATCTTTTTCATTTAATTTTTGTTTTTGATGTGTTGTATATGTTTCAATTACTTTACCACGATGCCTTAAAATGTGTCTCAAAGAATGTTAAAAATATATAATATGTGTAAATCTTCATTTACAATAACACATCTTGAATCATCAATAAAATATGTATTTACAACATGGTTTGCCCATTATTAGTTTTATGAATTAATATTTCCAATTTGAGTGAGAAAGGATAAGGAATTGCATAATTTGATTAGTTAGAATCAACTATCATTATCTCATTTTGATTATAACATAAAAAAAATGTAAAACAAAAAATTAAAAAGATAATTTATTTACAAAATTTAGTTAACCAATTATTAAGAAACAAATAATTACTTTCATGTTAGTCTAATTCGTTAGCCATAAAGTTTGAAAAATAAAACACAAAATCATAAATACAATCATAAATTATGTGACAAAATCATAAATCATGTCATTCTACTTGTAATTTTTCATCGAAGGCATGTTGAATTATACAATATAGATTATGTGAGTTATTTAAAATATAATTAAAATGCATTAATATTATTGAAAAATTATATTATTTTTCAATCATAAATTGTTAAATATAATAATTTTGTTAACCTTTATAATAATTTTCCACCATAACGTCACGTAAGACACAAGGCATGAATCCACATGTTAGATTAAACAATACTGATTTATTTATTTTTTTGCACACCAAGAAAATCAAATTTGCCCCCAGAAAAAAAAAAAGGAAAACAAAATATAACTGTGATGTTGAAGTCTTGTGAGTGTGCGCAGGCCTTGAACTTGAAGAGGTTAATGACAATGTTAATCCATCGTTGTCCACTGGAAAGCACCCAAGTCATTATTCATTGCCATGTTTATTCCTTATCGGAACATGTATCATGTAAGAAGGGTTCTTGCTGCTATGTCTGAATGAAAACATTAAATACATATCAACATCATATGTTGCATTTTAAGCTTTAGGTTTTATCATTGGATCAATAAGTTGTTGGACTACAAGTTTTAGTAAATTTACAAAACTTGTTCTAAAAATTATTCTTTCCTTATTCAATTACTTTTTATTTTGACTTGTAGTATGTTTGAAAATATAACTATATACTATCATAAATTAAATATTTATAAATGTTTAATTTATCAGGACTTAATTGTAAAAAAAATTATCTTGGCTTAATATAATAATTATTAAAATAACAGTATACGATTCAACGGTAAAATCCTATTATTAACAAATTTTCAATAGCTTATATTAAGAGTATTTAGATTCGCAAATCTATTTTCCGTCTCAAATGACCAAGATTATCGACAATAGAGAAATGGTTATACACAACAACTAATGCACAGGACGTGACATTAAAAATAAAAATAAAAAAGATATATAATCAGTATAATTAAAATTTAAATGAGTAGCTTGTGTGTTTAATGTAGCTGTTCAAATATATGCAACTTGTATAAAACAGTCCAGGGATTGGTTAGTTCTTGCAATAAATAATTTGTCAAACTGAAAAGGAATCATAACTAAAATGGTTTGTCAGTTGTGTATCATTGTTTTTGGGCACTTCATAAAGAAACAAAAAGTGAAGAACTGTACGCAGAAAAGAAACCTCCAACATGTTTGTAGCTACAGGTTATCAGACACAGTGCTCCTTGCTTAATTAGGTGGTGAGTACACTAATTATTTATTTATCTTTTTAATAACTATAATACAGGTATTAATTTCTATCAAAGACTATAAATACACATAAAATAAATATTCTTTTTCTAATATAATTTATTTCATATCCGAGATTTGATTCAAACCTACATAAATTAATTGAACAACACACCAAAAATAAAACATAAAAGAACTCAAATTTTAAGTGTGTATGGTTGTCCTACGCTGAACTAACAGAATATTTTGGCTCAATTATTGAGAACATGAAAAAAAAACACACACACACACTATAACTGGAAGTGAAAAATGGAATCCTTTGGTTCAAAACAAAGGCTTCAAAAAATTCATTGGATCAAATTACTTTTTAATAAATTATTTTTGTTGCTTAACTAATGCACTTATTCATTTTATGAAACTGTCAATAATAAAAAATAATTAATACTTTAAATAAAATTCAAACAAAACCGTGCAACCTGGACAAGTGTTTTAAAATAAAAGGAATAAATATTAGAAGATATGATTATATCAATGTAATTAAAGCACTATCTATCTTAGTCATATGCCATCACAAAGTCGAGAAACAATAGGTTTTCAGGATTCTCCAAATACATCGTCCGAAATACATTTTATTAACTCTCAGCAAGGAGCTTATACTTTATATCAATTGGTTGAACGGCGTTTGTCAATTATTATGACATCTTGAATCGTTAATTCATCAATAATTAAACTATAATCAAACCAATAATAGACAAATAAATAAATAAATAAATAAACATATATATATTTATTTAAATGCCATATAACATAATAAATATTAAGTTAATGAAACAAATAAACAAAAAGTTATATACAATCAATATTTGCCAACATAATCATATTAGACATTTGACAAAATTGCTATAGGTGATGAAAATACTTGTTTGTGATAACTAATAGTCATATCTATTACAAAAATAATTTCTAATTAGTACTAGTAACGAAATTAGATTCAATTTTACATTTGCATTAAAAAAATCATCTTAAATATCTAATAAAATAAAAACTAATACATAACTAAATAATAATGCATAAACTTAAATAATAATAATACATAAATTCCATATATAAGCATTTACTTAAATATAGTACTACAATGGTCTTTAAAAAAAACAAAATATAATGATATTTCATATAAAAAAGAAATGCAACCAATTTCCAGAACTGAAAAAAATAAAAATAAAAATCTGACACCATCTGTTACCCAGTTTTGACCAATTTTAGCCGATTCTTGAGCAACTTTCTAACTCCACCAGTGTCATGAATTGCCCAGTTTGAAGACCAAACCCGTCTACCGTCCCACCAGTCAATTCGATCCGTTACTCAAACTCAGCTTTTTTACTTGCAAACCGGTTATTCAGAGCACATTTATTTATCAAACAATATAATCTAATGCTAATACTGGCATTACCACCAACAAAAGATCATTATAAATACAAGAAATATTCCACAAAATGAGATCTTAGCCATGTACAATCAATCTCCATGCACAATATATTACATAGGAACCCAAAAAAACAAACCAAATAAACTATTACAAAAATATGATTAGACGATTTTAAAAACTCGGTAACATTGTTGAGAATTACGTTACCACAGTTAGCCATTTAAATTCCTTTACAGCGCCTTCTCTTGAATTAAGGCACGTAAGGCATACCCTAAGCCTTATATTATATTGCCTTCAATATTCACAAAGATTTTTTTTTTTATTTTCAGAATATGTTAGAACAGCACTGTTTGGCAATTCTTGGGAGATCCCAGACAACAGTCATTCTGGGAGATCCCTGACAAAATATACCTAGCAGCAAAACTTTTGATTTATACATATATATTAATATATTCAAGGAGAGATACATCTCCCTAATAGTCTTAAGTTTCCGATAAAAATCCACAAGAAAGCACATAAAGCAATAAGAATCGGGAAGAAAAGGAATTGAAGTCCCTTTCTGCCTGCTCTCTTCATAGTTGCAGTGTCTTTACCTGCAGCAATGTTTGTATGCTTGATCTTCAGCCTGCTGAAGCTAGACATTCGATTCAAAGCTCGGTTCACCAAAGCACTTTCAGCAGCTGATGCAGGAGTAGTAGGTATTGACTCAACAAAAGCCCAGAGAGCAGAGGAGAAGCTACTTGTAGCAACATCTTCCAAGGTGCTACTTTGATTGTTATTGCCTTCCGTAGGAAAGCTGACAGATTCATATACAACACCTAAAACACGACCAAAAAAAACTAGCATATATTAGGGGATAGCCTAAGACATCTTTTTTAGATTTTACAAAAGAGCCGCTTGAAATTGGCTCAATTCTCATTTTCCCATCGGGAATATAGTCAGAAATCTTAATTTGAGTATTAAAGCTCTAAAAAATGGCACAAATTTTATACTCCAGAAAGGTTTCTGCCATGCATGAGCTGGCATTAAAATTAGGAGCAGTAAACTGTGAAGAGCTCAGCACAAACGAGATGGGAAGCTTGCATCTCCATCCGAATCAAAGAAAGTAAAATCATTATTTGGCAGTGGAGCAACACTGTATCTTGTGCTGATTACTATACCTGGGGATGATAGGGAGAACGAATCAACAAAGCCTTCTGACTGACTCTGGGTGTTTCTTTCACCATGCATCCAGAACTCACTAACAGTTTGATTAGCATCCTCCAGATTGGGCAGCAACTGGCAATTTTGACTTTCAAAATTGCTGCTGACAAGAGCATTTGAATATGCATGTGAATCTGTTTCATGAATAATTGGCCCCAAGTCACGAAGAAACATCTCAGCATCTTGATACAGATCAAGTTCACTTAACCCATCTTCAAACTGCTGGTACTCCATAGGTTTTTCCAAATTTGACAGTGTAGGTTCAGTATCATTGAGATCATCAATTTCCAAGAAGCCATCCTCATGGAAGTCAAGCCCCTTTGTTTTAATGTTGGAAACAGAAGAGACCTCAGATGCTTCAGAAACATGTAACTGAGAAGTAACTGCCTGATTGAAGTCAAAGCTGGGCTGTGCATCAAAAAACTGACTGTTAGGATGAAAGATACTGATTTGCTCAGGGAACACGACATCCTCAGAGAACTGATCCGCAATGGTACTTTGCGTTTCTTCTGTAACAACCTACATGATTTTTGGAAAAACCTTGGTCAATAACTTTCAGAAATGACGTGTAAAAAACTATAAATAAAAAAACAACAACAACAAAACATTAGCAACTTCGAAAAACTAGTAGAAGGAAAAAAGAAGGGGAAGACCAACGTTACAATCGACAAACACTGAAAATTAGTGGACACGTGTGTATAATGCAAACAACATTTGAATGAGAAACTCCCTACAATTTATTTATAGTAGAGATATTCAGACGTAGTATTATTTTTCACAGATCCAAAATCACAAGTACATCAGCTTTTCACGTATTTTGACTGAACAACACTAAAACTTCTAAATAAGCTGCAAAATTTTGCTGCAGCTAAAAGTTCCTACCCCTACACCAACCCACACAATGACCGAAAAGAAATAAAGGTGGAGCTAAATCAATAAGGACTTGGAAGAAATTATGAGAAGATCATACCTGAGGAAAGTCGGGATAACCATTCAGATGCTGAGGCTCAAGGACAAGCTCATCATCCAAGATTTCTCTAATGATGTCACCAATTTCATCATCAAGCAAAGGCTGCAGTGCACTATAATCCCCAGGAACATCATTTGGAGCCACCTGATCAGATTTGTTATCATTAAAATCTACTATGTCATCATCTGCCCACTCTTCTTCATTGAATGGTGCACCATACTGTTCCCCATTTTTAGGACCAGGTCCACTTTTCTTGTAAACCTTGTAAAGTGCATAATAGTCCTGATAATAAATTTATATCAAAACCCAAAAGTCAGTAAATAGTTCTCTTCTTGTGATCAAAACAAATAAGAAAACAACAACCCAATAAATTTAAAGCAAAATGGCCATTTAAAATGATACCTTAACACCTTGGCATCTCTTAAGCTCCCCTTCATCCATGGTGTATTCATGCATAACCCAATCAGTCCTCTCACCACTAGGAGCTCTGCCTACATAGAAAACCAGTGTCTTTTTCACTCCAACTGTCCTAGAATTGCATACCACATTACGATCCTTTCCTGTGGCTTTCCAGTACCCATGTCTGGTTGCTCGGTTGGACCTTCCACCATTAGGATACTTCCTATCTCTGTGACAGAAAAAGAACCATTGCCTATCTCCAGTTTTCAGTATAGATTGCCCTGCAAAATATTATAAGCCAATTAGTCAGTAATCAAACAAGTGTTAATACTGGGAGTAAATATGACAAAATGTAGATGCACATCATATCCAATCTACATTGTTTTTGCAATAAGAGTAGCCAAATCATTATATTAGAACTCCAAAGCAGACAATATCCAAACTTCAATTCCTATGAAGTAGCCACGCACAATTTCAACCAATAAATCTAAAAAAAAAATAAAAAATAGATAGAGCTGTGTTAATGAAACTCTGCCACAATAGGAGGGAAGGATCATTCTTACATCCAGCTCAAAGCAAAGGACTCATGTAAACATCCCGACAGGAAAAAAATGAAAATAAAAGAGAGATTGACAGCACCACCCATCAGATAAACATTGGCAATAACCTGAACCGCACTGCCATTAACTCAAAGGAGTTGAATGAAAGGAAGGAGAAAAAGCCCACAGTAAATGGTGAAGGATTGACAGCTAAGGGCAAGACCTCCAAGAAATATAGTAAACCTGATAAGAAGAAACCAAAGTCAGAAAAACAGAAAGATGGTGGAGAATCCACCTTCACAATCAGGTGTTATCATTGCAAGAAAGAGGGTCACACAAGGAAGGTATGTCCTGAACCGCTTGAACCAACAAATCAAAATAACCCAAATAACACACAACACCTCATTGAAGCAAACCCAAGTCAACGATTGGAACTCTAACCTGAAAAACACATCCAAAGCATCACTTCATCAAAAAACTGTGCATCAAACACAACCAATACTTAGAACATGAAGATCTACACACTCATCCCCAAATCAACAACTTCGAATCGACCAAACAAGACAATCAAATCAAAAGAAACACAAATCCCTACCAAAGCAAGCCCAAGTCAACGCCATAACAATCACCAACAAAAAAAAAAGACAAAAAACAGAAAGGGTTGATCAAGTACCAGGCAAATCGTCAGGATCCCACTTATAAACATCGGTTACACGAATCACGTCGAGCTTAAGCCTCTTCCCACAAATCTTCCGCTTCAGATAGTACATAACCAACTCCTCATCCGTGGGATGGAAGCGAAAACCTGGCATCGACGACATCATCTGACTGAAACAGTCAGTGGAACCAGCTTCCGAAGCTTCACCCATTCTCGATCGCAAGGAAAAACCAAACAACCCTCAACCAACCAACACCAAAAAATCAAACTTTTTCAACCTTAACCGAAAACTGCCAACAATATGACACGGCGAGCCTCTGGGTATTCGAAACCGGCGATCAATCAAAACCCTAACTAGAGAAATCAAATTAGGGGAAAGGGAAATGAAACAACAATTTTAGGAATCAACTAGTGGCGAAGCAAAAATCCCACAACTACGTAGTACAAATCGAACCTCTGTGTAAGAGGATTCGAAGACCGAGTCAGGGGATAAAAAACCTAATCGGAGAGAAAATATTGAAGGAAACGCGTGAATGGGGAAAATTGTGAGGGGTTATGGTTTTGGTTAGGGATAGTGTTGTGGTCAAAGAAGGAAGCTAATAGTAGTGGTTGGGAACCTTCCTCGAAGGCCTTTGAGTGAGAGTGTGAGCTCACTCACGTGATGCGGTTGCGTGGGTTTTAAGTTTCGATCATGGGGTGATGAGCGGTGATTTAAGCGTCCGAGTCAAAGGTTGCGCCATAGGTTTTACGTGAGTTCGGGTGTATGGGATTGGACTATTGGGTGTGAACACTGAACATTGGATTGGTTCCCATTTGGTATCAGTGTCGACACTACAGAACCCAAATCATACTTTGCCTGTCTCCACACCACGACACCTGTGCAAATCATAATGGTTATTTATGTTGACTATTTATCCATATGACATCAAATCAATTAAATCTCGACTCTGCGAGTGAATACAATATATGTTTTTCAAAGATACTTACTTTCGTTGGAACCCGGGGAAATTAAGGACCTAATTGTTTCTTCTTTATAAATTAGTATTTTAAATTAACTCGGCTAATATTATAAAATAAAAATATTAACCAGGCTAATTATTCGTGCTCAAGTATTAAATTAAAATTTTAAAAAGTTATATTACTTTTATTTTAACGTATTTCCCAATTTATATATTTTACAAAGAAAAAACATATATATGTATCAAATGTTAAGTACTGATTTCAATAATGTAATATCATGTTTTATTAATTGTGTTTATTGTTATAAATGTAATTAATTACTGTATTTGATATTTTATTTTATTTCATCGATTCAAATTGACAGGTAATTATAAAATTTTTATATATTAAATTAAATTAATAAAAAAAATATTAAATAATTTTTATTTTTTTTAATTTATAAATTTAATCTATGTATTAAGAATTTTAAATTCAACAGTTAATTCATTGAAATTTGATGTTGAACATGAGTTATTTAATGGAATAAGTCTACTAAATAGACTTTTTCTAAAATAAATGGATACTTCTGCGCGCGCGTACACACACAATATATATATATATATATAAAAGTTACATCGATGTTATTATAATCTTCACCTCTCTATATAAAGTGTTTATATTTTAGTATATTTTGAAATGTATATATCAATTTTGTTTTATAAGAATGAAGTACTAAATCATCTTTAATTAATATAAAATTTTGTATATATAATCTAAGAGTAAAGAACTTTCAATCTAATTGTTAAATTTACAAATTCATATTTAATATAAAGTTATTGAACGATGTAATACTTAGTAAAAATTACATCAGTATTATTATAATTATCTTCTATATATATATACATATATATATATAGGGAGTTATAATTATACCGGTGTAACTTTACTAAATATTACACTGCTCAATAACTTTATACTAATTGTGAATTTTGTAAATTCAACCGTTAGATTAAAAGTTCATATCACTTTATACGTGTATATCAAATTTTGTTAAAATTGAACAACAATTTGAAGGTGATCAAAGTGTTCATATTTTAGTGTATTTTGAAATTAATATATTACGTCTTTTATAAAAATGAAGTATCAAATCATCTTTGATTAGTATAAAATTTTGTATATATGATCTAAGAGATATGAAATTTCAATCTAATAGTTGGATTTACAAAATTCATATTTAATATAAAGTTATTGAGCGGTATAATACTTAATAAAAGTTACACCGGTGTAATTATAACCACTCATATATATATATATATATATATATATTTTTCAACAACTTGTGTCATTTTTGAATATTTAATATGTATTTAATTTTAGTTTAATAAAAACTAAATATCATATATTCCAATATTAACATTATTTTTACTTATTGATTTAATGATTAAATCTTTAAAATTAAATTTTAATAAACTTTATTAAATCATTAATCATTTTTTATAAAAGTAAGTTTCTGTTAAATATTGTAAATATGAAGAAAAAAAAGTATAAACACGGTTTACAAAATATCCACTTAAATAAATAACAAAAGAATATTCTTTACATTAAATAAAATGAATTCAACATTAATTTATTTGTTTAAGTTTTTTTAGATAATTCGTTTAAGAAGATTTGATAAGTTGAGAGAATTGAATTTAATACTACATGCTCAGCATTAATGATTTGTGGATAAAATATAACTGTTTTAATAACACGTACCAATTTATTATTATTTTTTTTAATGGATGTTTCGGCTAGAGTGTTCAAATTCAATCCAATAAAAAAAAAAAGACAAATGAATTAAAAATGGCTGAAAAGCAAATTATTTTTGAATAACTTTTTGCATGATTGATCGATTCGATTTTCGGATGGTGTTTTCAAGACCGAATCAATAATTTTACAGCTGTGTTTTACGTGTATAATATTATAATGTGTTTTATTTGTTTATGTAATATTCACATAAATATGCAGCAAGTCAAACAGTTTTTTTTTTTGTCAATTTGGTTGCTGAATGTGGGCATTTTCTTTTCTTAAGTCCACTTTGAAATGTTTTTCTTAATACAATGCTTATTTGCTTGTCGTTTCGTTTTTCTTTTTTGGTATTTAAATTTTTGTCTACAAGCTAAAATATTTAAATATCTAGTTGCATTGACTAATTTTGGCTATTTGATTAAGCTTTCTAGCAAGTGTACATGGGCATATAAATTGGCCGAATTACATATAAGTTTTTTCCTTTATATTTTAAGTCACCAATATGGCTTGAGTGTGACAAATATAGCTGAAAAAAACAAAAAAAAAAAAAAGAAAGAAGAAAATACCAAGGATACACGTAAGTAAGACCTATTATAAATTGAAAATAAATAATTAATAAGTATTTACTTAGTAATAGATGAAGTAAAAAATAAGTTACTCATTGATATTCGTACTTTAAAATCACTGAAAATATGTCTTAATTATATATATATAAAATAATTTGGTCTAGTGTATTTTTACTTTAAATATATATTTGCTAATTATTTATCTTTAGTATAAGAATATATAAAATAATTTTTAATATAATTATATTTGAAAAATAAATATTTTATTTTTATCTTTTAACTTGAAAATTTATATTTTAACAAATATCATATATAACATTCATGAATAACCATACTAGATGAAAGAGGTGACCTAAGTATTACTTGCACTTATTTTAGAGCATCTCCAAAACGAGTATCTTATCCATTGTTTAAAATTAAGAGATCATGTCTTATAGACAACTTTCATTAAAATACGTTTATGTGACAAGATAAATTGTTTAAATTTAAGATCTGCCTCTTAAATTATATACGAGTTCTTAAAATTAAAAATCATTTTATTTGTTTTAGTCGTTTATCAATCAAGCAATAAAAGGAATGAGAAACTACAAAACAGATTCACCAAACAACAAATGTTAAATCATAAAATCAAAATTGGGAAAGAAGATGAAGCCTGTGTGCTATCACGTTTGAAACGTGAAAAATTACGGTTAACATGAAGCTACAACGTGTAGCTTCACGTTAAACGTGATTTTTCACGTTTCAAACGTGATAACAAACACGCACGAAATCACAAATAAAAAACAAAATAAATCAACACACCAAAAATATGTAAACCATTATGCATAATAACAATCTAAATTTAGGCACAGGTGGAGAACTGAATCCTTAACATCAACTATAACATGAGAACGACCAAATCCCGATATCAAACCACCACGACATATGAGCCACGAGTAGAACTAAAGGAAATAATGTCGAAGTTGGAGAGGCCAAGCCATCGTGGGACGTTGATAGAAAGAGAATACACTATCTTTCTTTGTGTTGGGGTGTAAAAAAAAACTCTATGTTTGAGTTGATGAAACTTGTTCTTGCTAGAAAAAGTACTTGTCTTATTTTCAAAGTCTTTGCTGTTCAATTTCAAATTAATAGTTGTATTTAAAAAAAAAGACTTAAATATTGAATAATCAAAATGTATGGGTGTAAATCTCAAGAATGATTACACCTTATGAAGTTTAAATATAGGTGTATACATAGGACATGAAATGTTATCATTAGTCGATACGATATTTAAGTATATTAAAATCTTTTAATGTATCTTTTACTGTCGTGTAATAGTGTTACTCAGACATCAATATCTAATAGACTCAATCACAAAGTAATAATTCTTGATCTGCCAAATAATTTTCAACATTTTGAAGATTATTTGGATTGAAAGTACTCTTTATTAGACATATTGACTAGTGTTTAATTTGTAACTAAGGTTCTTTTCTAATTTTATGACGGAAGCCGAGATATCTTTAACAAGATGACTTGAAACCTATTTAGTATAGAATTGTTGAGATAAACTTTTCTTTTAAGTTTTAACCAATTTTTTTGAAAAAATTATTAATTATCATAAAAGTAATTGAAAAGAAAACATAATTTATAACCATGTAAAAAAAATAAATTATCAGTGATGAATAAAAAAATTAAAAAGGTAATTAGACCGCTATAATATTAAAAGACAATTTGCAAACATTTGAATTTAAATTACTGTTGATGCAGATTTTTACCATTTAAAATTACCTATATTAAATTAATATTTATTTTAGCACTAATTTATTTAAATTTTTTCTTAGAGTAATTTGACTCAAAATTTTAATTAAAGAAATTTCATGTAAATTTTAACTGGTAATAAATAATAGTAAAGAATCGTGTTTTATTGTTTCCATTTTACAAAACATCTGCAAGCAAACAAATGAAAAAAAAAAAAAGAAGAAGCTTTTATTCGAACGTTGGCGATTGAAGGAGAGTCTGATCACAATGAGGAGTTTGCAACACGTGTATCCATTACTATTTCCAACATCGAAATTAGGTCACGGAGTGGCCGAAAAGAAAATGCCTCAATCATTTTCTTGTCTCCCAAACACGTTTCTTTTCTAACTGAGGGGAGAAGGTACAGAGAGGGTGGAGAAGATAAAGGGCATAAAAACAATAAAATTAATTCAAGTTTGAAATAAAAATTCAAACTTTTGAAGATTTTCGGAATCTCACAACTGTCACAAGTGTTTATCCATTCCGGTTACGCCCTAGATCTGATCGAGCAATGCGCTTTTCTCTCTAGGGAGGGTTTCGTCGCTGAAACCGTTTTCATCATCTGGGTATCCTGGTAAGCCATTCTGCCAAATTCTGCTATGGTTTTCTTCTGCATTGTTGGTAAGTTGCACGCTTTGAATTCGGTTTCTTCACATTTTCAATGGGGTTTAATAGTGTTTCTCATCTTTTTTCTTCTTTTGGGTTTATGCAATGTTTGGTGCTAGTTGTGTTCCTTTTTGTTTCTTCTTCTGTTTGCCCAACAAGTAAACAGTTTTGATTTTCCTCTTCAGGGAGTGAAGGAAGTTGTCCAAGTTAAGATCGTCAGCTGTGATGCAGCTTTGAATTGCTGAGTTTGTTTCTGAGTTGGATTGTCTTTGCTTGAAATTGACTCGTTTCCACATTTGAATTTATATGATGGTTTTCTGGGAAGGATACGTGAGCGATGAATTGATGGGCACGTTTGCCCCTATTGTGCTTTATTGGGTATATGCCGGATTTTATCACTTGCTCCCACCTTTAGATAGGTATCGGTTGCATACTAGGAGAGATGAGGAAGACAAGAATTTGGTGCCCTTTGCAACGGTTGTGAAAGGTGTTTTGCTTCAGCAGATTGTTCAGGCAATCGTGGCACTCCTCTTGGTCAGTCCTTATGCATTTCAGTTATTTTCTACTAATAACATTGGTTCACATTTATAGTTAATATTGTTGAAAAACTATTCTTTAAGTTTGTGCTGTGTTGCTTGCTGTTACTTTTCTGAACATTTGATTTTAATAACTTTTTTTTAAAATGAAACTGTTACATTTTCTACTTTCTGTTTAGTTCCTTCATCCCAATTTCTGGTTGTTGCTTTTGTGTAACTCTCATCTTCTTTTTTGTTCATTAGGATACATGACTCTTCTTGTTTTTCTTATCCTCTCATTTTATCCTAAGATTTTTAGCGTAGGATAGGGCCCCTTTATATGTCTCGCAAAATGATATGACGTCAATTTTGGTAAGCTAAAATTTCTGCATTAAATAAAAAGGTGTTACACTGTCAGTTTAAAATAAAAAACCTTTGGTCCAACTGACCTAACTAATTGATTAAACACCCTGAATACACAAAAGAGAGCAAATAAAGAGTAATATTAGGAAAACCGTGCCAGAAAAATAAAAGAGCCCAATTGATTATTCTATTAGTGCAGTGCAGAGTGATTTTGATAATATTATTAATATATATATTCTAAATGGAATACAGATAAAAAAAAGGCAGACGGAAAACACACAGACACACACACAGAGAATCAATAACTACAATGTTGTAGTCGTTTCTTTATCATTTCTCATGCCCTCACTGACACAATCTTTTGATCACGAAGACTTGGTGAAATATGGACATAATATGAATTCAGCTGTAATCATTTCCCACCATGGAATGAATTCGATTTATCTATCACTAAACAATGGTCTTTTGATAACACTGAGAATGATCCATCTTCCTTTTGCATGAATTTGCACAACTTCAAATATGAACTCTATTGGATAATGTATTTTCAGCATGGGCAGGGTGACACAATGTATCTATAGTGATATACCGCATGCATGGTGTGGCAGATTCATGGGTTATCTATCCAATTGCTTGATATGTGAATGGTTTGATGTTGCATATGAGCTGCCATTTAGACATTTTAAGTGGCTTAACATTGAAGGTGCTAATTGATATGAATAGTTTCTTTTTTAAAATGCTTCCATGCGATTTAAAATTTGGTTGTTTGGAAGAATTAGTCTACAACATTATAGTTGTTAGTTTATTATTATTTTATTGTGAACTAGGTTTCACTTTCATTTGAGATTCTGCTGTTTGTCTTTTCATTGGTAGAGTCATTCATTCATGGGAATTTAGGTTCATTTAAGTTCAGCCTGAATTTATATTTCACTTTTCTACCCGATGAAAGAAAAATATTACTACTATTAAGAAGAAAGAGAAATCATGTTTGGAGGCAACACAAGAGCATCATCATCAACAACAACAATAAAAGCCTTATCCTACGAGGTAAGGTCGGCTACATGGATTACATGACGCATTGATGCCATTTAACTCGGTTAAAGGCCAAAGTTTTAAAGATGTAATTTATCATCAGATTGCTCTTAACAACTTCCTCCAATGTTCTTTTCGGTCTTCTTCTCCTCTTTACAAGGCTAAAACCTTGCAATCTACTTTTCTCATCAGTGCCTCCCAGGGCCTTCTTTGTATGTGCTGAAACCACCTTAATTAGTTTTATATATTGTCTTTTTTGTGTGGCCATCCATCCATCTTAACATTCTCATTTCTGCCACTACCAACTTTTTCTCATGTTGTCCCATTAAAGCCCAACATTCATTAGTCATTACCAATTTATAGAGTATAGTTGGATGTATAACAGTATGATAAAATTTGTCATTGGGATTGGTTGGTAATTTGCCATGACAAATAACCCTTGATGCCTTTCTCCATTTAAGCAACTCAATTGTATCTTATGTGTGACATCTTCATTAATTTCTCTATCATTTTGTAGTATTGGTCCCGGATAAATTTAGAAAGTTGTGGTACTGGGTGGGATGACTTATATCTTCTCCCAATTTTACTTCAATGTCACATTCTTCTCATTTGTTGCTAAAATTGCAATGCATATATTCTATCTTCTACTTTAGCAAAAATCCTTTGTTTCCAAAGCTTGTCTCCCGTATAAGAAGCTATTCCATTATGATAATCAATAAGCAGCTATCCAACTCTGTATACTAGAGACAGGAATTGCCTTGAAACAACTGTGAGCAGAGCTCCAAAGAGAATCCACTTAAATACAGTTGTTACCTAACTGATGTAGGGTGAAGACATTTCAATCATATGCACTTCGGAATTGTGAAAACAGCACCCTGCCATAAAATATGGACAATTTTTACTAGTTTAACTTGGCACTCAGATATTTGGTAATAAGCTATGCACAATTTGTTTTGCTAATAACACTGATCATTTATTTGCTGAACATGCCAGATTCTGTGGTTATGCTTGAGTTTATTTGAAACTGACACAATCAGTTGGCCTATAACTTCCTCTCTTTTTTTGTCATAATAACTGTAGAAACACCTTTCTTTTAAAAGCCATTTCCTGCGAGTTAATCAGGCTAATGTGTATATTAAAATTTAAATTTCACCTGAGATTTGCTCTAGCTATAATTCAGACTCCTCAGCTTTTTTGGATCTACATTTAAGTTTCATCACCTAGTAGGATGAGGGTTGGTTGTTGTTGTTGCAGATCTGAAATCAGTTTTGCAGATAGTACCCGATTTCGATCTTGGATCTATGCTTGAAGAGGTAGAAGTTAAGGAATTGAAGTATAGAAGCCATTATATTATAGACCTGGCTATTACTTCTGAAGTGATGAGTTATATACGTTGAATATTTAAACAAGCTCTTTGATGTTTTTAGAAGCCTAAAAAGTTATAGTTGTAATATAATGATGAATGCTGGAGAGAGAGAAGTTACAGTTGTTACGTTGGAAGTCAAATAATTTTCTGTAGATAAATTCTTGAGCTGTTGTTGAGTAACTTATATTCTTGCTATAAATTTGCAGTTGACTACAACGACAAATGCATATGGGGTTATAGTGCAGCCTTCTATCCCGAAGCAAGTTTTGCAGATCCTTATTGCAATGTTTGTGATGGATACATGGCAGTACTTCGTGCATCGTTACATGCATCAGAATAAGTTTCTATATCGCCATATCCACTCACAGCATCACAGACTGGTTGTTCCTTATGCAATAGGAGCCCTTTACAATCACCCGTTAGAGGGTCTTCTACTCGACACTGTTGGCGGGGCCATCTCATTTCTGGTTTCAGGGATGACTGCTAGAACAGCAGTTGTATTCTTCTGTTTTGCTGTTGTGAAAACCGTTGATGATCACTGTGGACTGTGGTTACCGGGCAACATCTTCCACTTATTTTTCCAGAATAACACAGCTTACCATGACATTCATCATCAACTGCAAGGGCTGAAGTACAATTATTCTCAGCCATTCTTTTCCATATGGGACAAACTTCTTGGGACATACATGCCTTTCAATCTTGTAAAGAGGCCTGGAGGGGGGTTTGAGGCAAGGCTAGCAAAGGAATAGTGACACTGTAATTGTTGAAAATCTCACATCTGATGGCATCATTTTTCATTAGGATCAGAGGCTTTTCTGTAGCCATTTCTCAAGTTGATTGGAGCTTACTGGCTTTTTCTGTTCATCTTGTTACTGTAGGTTTGCCAACCCACTTTGTGTAGCATAACTATGATGATATGTGATTAAGGAGTTCTTTTCATTATTTATTATCATTCATGTACTTAAACAACATTTTTTGAAGGTGTAAGTTGCTAAAAGAGTACCAGGTTCACGCTACCATATTTGTTTTTCCTACTACTGATTCCCCTGATCATTTATTATGATTTTTATTTTTATTTTTTATTTTTTTTTTATTGTAATCCAGAACCATTGGGTTGAAGATATCATCATAATTCATTTACTTATGAATGGTAACAAAAAAATAAGAGTAAATATGTAATTTTGTCATGGAAAATGAAAACTTGTGTTGATTGAAAGTTCTCGTGTATGTAATTTAATCTTCAAATTTGTTAATTTAATGACAAATTGATCGAATTTGGAGCCTATATTGGTAATGTAGTTGATCGAAATATTTGTTATCAAATCAATCAAGTAAGGGACTTCATTGCCTTAAAGTTGACATGTTTGAAAATTAAATAGACGAAGGATTGTGATAAAATTAACAGATTTAGAAATTAAATATATATACACATATATCTTCTAAATTATTATCAGTTACTACCTTCTTGCACAATTGTAAATTTATCAACGAAAATAAGGGAAATAATTTTCATTAATGGTATTTTGTTAACAATTAATATTGCATGTGTTATTTTTTTAGGCGTGCTCACTCACGTAAAGGTAACAATAGAGTAAACAAAACATAGACGCTCTGTATTAAAAAAAAAGACACAAATTTTTTCCATGATATCTTTATAAAAAAGATGCACTCTGTTTAAAATGTTAAAATATTAATTTATGGATAATTTAGTTTTATAAGAGATCTCATAAATTTCTAAAAAAATATAGTTTAATTTTACTTATATATATGTCAATAAAATGTATTGACTTAGTATTTTAAAAGACTTATTTCATTCTTTAAAAAGTGTTTTGAAAGAAATTTATCTAAATAAACCCATAAATTATTATATATATATATA